AATGCTGGGGTTAGAATTCTGTTAGTATTCACGTCCGTGGTGCAAAAGCGGCATCTGAGAAACACATTTTCTGGGATGTAACCCTGCATTTAACAATCACCCCTGCTATGACCCCATGGCTTTTTCGCGAATAACTTTAAACCACTCAATAGGGGCTGCACTTCTGTTCCCTGGGAGAGGCTGTGGGTCCCCTTGTGGAAGCAGGAACTGCTATAGCAATCTCTCCGTTCCTTCTGCTTAAGCTGGCCCAGGGCAGAGTGGGGCCACGTGGGGAGCAAGTGCCTCTTTCTCAGAGGTGTGTCAAGAAGGTAATTCCCGAAGGCCTCTCACAACCCTGCGTTCTCATCCTTAGCAGTGAGCCAGGTTATACAACACTGAAGACTTAAAAGCCTGTGGGGAGATCTTCCCAGCCAGCCTTACGTGGCAGCCACATCAGCACCCAAGGGAGATGCAACAGAAAGCAGTGATCATGTTTCTGGGTGGCTCTGGATCCTGATTCCCAAGACCTTCTACTCAATGCTTACAACTAGACAGGAGGAAATCCCAGGTCCTGCCCTTTGACAGCTAGTCAGACTCCAGACAATCCAATAATGGCAGAGCCAATTCATCAGAAGGAAGGTCACTGCTCAATGACCAATAGAACCGCCAACATTTTAAAATTTTCTATTGAATGTTTGAAACATACAGTGTGAGAACGCACTATCCCAAGTATCCATTACCAACCTCAGTTATCAAAGGGCCTTGTATTTCTGCTCTCATCTACTTAACCCCATTGCAGGGTTAAAGTGAATTATAGAATTATACTGTGTCTAAGTTTGCTGTTGTGTAGCTCTTAAATAAGGACTTTATAAAGACAATGTCACACCAGGGAAGGCGTTATGGTACAGTGGGTTAAAGCCACTGCTTGGGACACTGGCATCCCATATCAGAGTTCTACTTCGGGTCCCAGTTACTCCACATTTGATGCAGTTTCCTACAAATGCATCCTGAAATGCAGAAGATAGCTTAAGTTCTTAGGTCCCTGCCACACATGTGGAAGACACAGATGGAGGTCTGGGCTCCTGACTACAGTCTTGCTCAGCCTCAGCTGTTGCAACCATCTGAGGAGTGAGCCAGCAGGTGGAAGAACTCTTTCCCCCTGCGCTGCCTTTCAGGATGAAACATTTAAGACAACATAGTTCTGTATCAAGTGGTCTCTCCAAGTTTCCCTAGTCACCTCAGAAATGTCTACCATAGGTGTCTTATTTGAATCAGGGTCCAAGCTTGATATAAGAACCTCAGGCCGGCGCCACAGCTCACTAGGCTAATCCTCCGCCTTGTGGCGCCGGCACACCGAGTTCTAGTCCCGGTCAGGGCGCCGGATTCTGTCCTGGTTGCCCCTCTTCCAGTCCAGCTCTCTGCTGTGGCCAGGGAGTGCAGTGGAGGATGGCCCAAGTGCTTGGGCCCTGCACCCCATGGGAGACCAGGAGAAGCACCTGGCTCCTGCCATCGGATCAGCGTGGTGCGCCGGCCGCGGCGGCCATTGGCGGGTGAACCAACGGCAAAGGAAGACCTTTCTCTCACTGTCCACTCTGCCTGTCAAAATAAAAAAAAAACGAACAACCCCACCCTAAAGCCCCAGGGTCCACGCAAACCAACTTAACCTCACCTACTACCCACTGGCCCAGAACCAGCTGATAACAAGTAACTGACTACAGAGACTTAGTACAAGAAGGGAAGTCTCCACCCTTGCCAGTAGCAAGTCTCGTTTGTCCAGCCGTTGAGTGCGTCATCTGCCTCCTGTTTCTCATTCCTGTACTCTAACATTGATGCTTATCTTAGACTTCCTGAAAGCTGACCTGAGGCGGGACTTTGGGCGAAAGCCCTGCACCTAGGTAGCTCTCAGGAAAGGGAAACTGTAGGTAGAAGCAGGGCAAGGAAGGGTCTCTGTGGAAGATCAGCGTCCGTCTGCCACTAGAGGGAGCGCTGGCGCCACACGGCTGATTCGCTTTGCACCCGCGGTGCCACGTGTCAGTCAAGCTCCGTGGCCCTGGTACCTTCTTGGGCAAGGAAGCTCACTGTTGGCCAAAGGCGATTCTGCAGCAGGTAGGGCTGCTGTATGCCTTTGGCAGCCAACGCTCTCGGGGGCAGGTTTACACAAATTGGGGAAAATAGCATTTGTGCCCAAACATCTGTCTCCTGAAAGTGGTACTTTGATCGTGAGGCTTGTTCCACATCACCTTTTGCTTTTGGAGACTGAGACATCATTGGGTGCTTCTCCTCATCTCGTAGGGCACTTCAAATTCAGTTATTTTACAAGAACTTTTTGCACAATCCCAATGTCATGAACTACCTGGCCAGAAACTGATTTAAGTCACCATCACATTGGGAAACAAGTTGGCTTCAAGAGTTTGGGAGCCTGGGTCCATTAAACAGCATGTCACTGTTTCCCCTTTGGTGCTCAGTTGTCACTGATCAGGGAGAACATATCATATTTGTCCCTTTGGGACTGGCTTAATTCACTCAGCATGATGTTTTCCAAATTCCTCCATCTTGTTGCAAATGACCAGGTTTCGTTTTTGACTGCTATATAGTATTCTATAGAGTACATGTCCCATAATTTCTTTATCCAGTCTGTTGATGGGCATTTGGGTTGGTTTCAGGTCCTAGCTATTGTGAATTGAGCTGCAATAAGCATTAATGTGCAGACAGCTTTTTTGTTTGCCAATTTAATTTCCTTTGGGTAAATTCCAAGGAGTGGGATTGATCAGCTCTTGTCCTGACGGTTGATGTACAATGTAATACTTTATCCATTTTAGTATTTTTTTGTTCTAGTACCATTGGTTGAACTCTGTAATTAACACACAATTATTCTTAGGTGTTTAAATTTTAACTGAAAAGTGATCCCTGTTAGGAATTTGGAAAACATTATGCTGAGTGAAATAAGCCAATCCCAAAGGGACAAATACCACTTGTTCTCCTTGATAGGTGACAACTGAGCACCAAAAAGGAAACCTGTTAAAGTGAAATGAACACTATGAGAAACGGTGACTTGATCAGCCCTCGCCCTGACTGTTGATGAACAACTAAATGTTATCCCTCTTAGTATTTTGTTTGTATTTAATACTTTTGGTTGAATACTGTAATCAATACACAATTCTTCTGAAGTGCTGAAACTTAACTGAAAAGTGATCACTGTTAAATATAAGAGTGGGAATAAGAGAGGAAAGAGATGTGCAATTCGGGACATGCTCAAGCTGACTTACCTCAAACAGTAGAGTTAGAAACATACCAGGGGATTCCAATTCAATCCCATCAAGGTGGCATGTACCAATGCCATCTCACTAGTCCCAGTGATCAATTTCTGTTCACAATTGATCATGATAGGACTAAGAACCAAAGGGGGCCGGCGCCGCGGCTCACTAGGCTAATCCTCCACCTAGCGGCACCGGCACACCGGGTTCTAGTCCCGGTCGGGGCGCCGGATTCTGTCCCGGTTGCCCCTCTTCCAGGCCAGCCCTCTGCTGTGGCCAGGGAGTGCAGTGGAGGATGGCCCAGGTGCTTGGGCCCTGCACCCCATGGGAGACCAGGAAAAGCACCTGGCTCCTGCCATCGGATCAGCGCGGTGCGCCGGCCGCGGCGGCCATTGGAGGGTGAACCAACGGCAAAGGAAGACCTTTCTCTCTGTCTCTCTCTCACTGTCCACTCTGCCTGTCAAAAAAAAAAAAAAAAAAAAGAACCAAAGGGATCACATACACTAGAATAGTGTCTGCAAATACTAGCTGATAGAACAAAAAAGGGAGAGAATGATCCAACATGGGAAGTGGGATACAAAGCAGACCCATAGAATGGCAGATGTCCTAAACAGCACTCTGGCCTCAGAATCAGCCCTTAAGGCATGCGGATCCGGCTGAAAAGCCCATGAGAGTATTGCTGGCATGGAAAGCCAAGACACTCTTTGGGGGGGGGGGGACCTAAATAAAAGATCTGTGAGTGAGATCCCAGTGGAAAGAACGGGTCATCAAAGGAGGAGGTACCTTTCTCTGAAGGGAGGAGAGAACTTCCACTTTGACCATGGCCTTGTCTAAAAATTATCAGAGTCAATGAACTCAGGGGGCTTCCATAGCCTTGGCAGCTCATGACAAGAGCCTAGGGTGATTACTGATGCCATAAACGAGAGTGTCAATTTGTTAAGTCAACAACAGGAGTCACTGTGCACTTAGTCCTCATGTAGGATCTTTGTCCTTAGTGTGCTGTACATTGAGATTTAATGCTATAACTAGTACTCAAACAGTATTTTTCACTTTATGTTTCTGTGTGGGAGCAAACTGTTGAAATCTTTACTTAATGTATGCTAAACTGATCTTCTGTATATAAAGAAACGAAAATGAATCTTGATGTGAATGGAAGGGGAGAGGGAGTGGGAGGGGGGGAGGGACGTTGCGGGGGGGGAGGGACGTTGCGGGGGGGGGGGAGGGAAAGCCATTGTAATCCATAAGCTGTACTTTAACTTTTATTTAATGAATATAAATTTCCAAAGTACAGCTTATGGATTACAATGGCTTCCCCCCCATAACGTCCCTCCCACCTGCAACCCTCCCCTTTCCCACTCCCCCTCTCCCCTTCCATTCACATGAGGATTCATTTTCGATTCTCTTTATATACAGAAGATCAGTTTAGCATACATTAAGTAAAGATTTCAACAGTCTTTTCCAACAGCAAAGCTGGGAAAATGCTTTCAGCATCTTTCAGATGCCTGGGAAGGAAAGCCCAACTGAAATTGGGTTTTGTGTATCATCATCAAGACCCTCACTTAACCAGGCTTGCTCTGGGCAGAGTTTCAAACATACCTGGACCCAAGACACTCAAGAATGGTGTCAGCAGTTGGCACTGACTCCCCTAAATGTTCCTCTCCTCCGGGGGACAGAGGCTTTGAGCATCTTCAGGTTTCTATTCTACCCTGTCAATCCCAGCACTTGGTTGCATGGTGCCCAAGGGTCTGGTAGGGATTAAGTGTGCTGCTTCTGACTTAGGTCTCCTTCTGAACCACTAACGGAGTAAATGCTTGTATACACCCCCATTCATATATGGTACCCATAACCCCACTGCATTGCTGGTTGCATCAGATGGAGCTGATTAGAATTAGATGAGGTCATAAGTGCGGAGCCCTCATAATGGGGGCTTAGACACGTGAGAGCTTGCTCCTGCTTTGTGTTCTCTGCCACGTGAGATACAAGTCACCAGCTCAGCCTTGGTAAGTGGAAGGGGGCCCTTGCCAATCCCTAAGGCGTTCTGATGCCATCTCAGACTTCCAGCCTCCAAAAGCGTGAGCTGTGTGTTGTAAATAAGCCACCAGGTCATGGTATTTTGTTATGACAGTCTGAACCAGTTAAGAAACACATGAGACAGGATTACTGAATTAGGCTCACAAGTATCTCAGAGCTTACCCAACATCAAGCCTCAGGAACAATTTCAAGGATAGGATTAGTCATGAGGCACAAGCAAAGCAGGGAGATATTTAAGACCAGTGTCCCTTCTCCAGGTCCTTTCTCACAATAGGACATTCTCTAGCCAAGAGTTAAAAGGTGAGGCCACTGACACGTATGTCCTTGTAACCTGCACAGGAGAGTTTAATCACAATAGATCCATTTCTTATTGTTATTACAGGAACTCATGTTCCATAAACCCCTCTGCTGGACATAAGAAACCCTAGATAGAGGCCTACAGCCTGAGCAAAATATTCCATAGACAAGGGCTCTCCTGCCAGCAAGAACTATTAGTGATTTGCCATGTGGTCTTTAGCATGCTTACAAGGATTTGACCAGACCAACTTACTTTCTCAAAGATGTCCCCTCATTAAAGAGCCTGCCTCTAAACCATCTCCTTTCTGCTAACATGCAAGTCCTCCCACTAGTGCCACCAGAGTGAAGATGACCTGATTAAGGCAATAATCCACTGACCAGAGTCAACCTAGCATACGGACTGAAGAAAAACAGGATGCTGTTACAGGGAGGGGCCATGAAATGCAGGTAGCCCACATCAGGGAGGCCTCACGATGGACAGATATTCCAAGAACTTTGTCATGAGGATTTGAAGGGCCTAAGCACGAAAGCTGTCAAGGATCCAAGACGAGTCTAGAAAAATACCATGAAAAATGTGCTACTGATGCTCTCGGTGGAACCCAGGGTCATGAGCTGTGTTCTCCTCATTCACCGAGATTGTCTGTGGCCTTACCCACAGCGTAAGACAATCTGGTTAAGACATCAATCACACCATCAGCCCCCCAGAAAATAGTGTTCCCCCATGCTCTGGGGTAAGAAGGTAAAGATACCTAGAGTAGGTACTTAACCCTGTGAGTACAAACCAGCCCTCTCCTTCCCGAGCCCTTCATACCACACCTGCATTGAGGATGAAGTTTCTCCGTGCCTAGCCCTGCTTTCTCCTTTTACAAGTATCTCAAATTTCTTGCACATAAAACTGAATCTTGGTGCCTGCCTCTCAAAGGATACAGACAGACACAATTGAGATGTGCTGGCACGTTCTTGATATCCAGACCCTGTAAAACGTGACTGATGTGGACTCTGTCAAGGTTATCTTCTACCTCTGGAGGGCGTATCGCCAAGGTCACTGTGCACAGCCATTTGTAGCTCATGATCTGACTGGCCGACATCTCAGGTGTAGAAAGGTGACATGATGCCTGTAGAACACCCAGATGGCCCAGATCTCTTCAGACTACACATTACTGAGTTGGAGAATCACAGCCCCCCTGGGGTAAAGCTGCATGCTATTGTCCAAGTGTTGGTAGACTACAACTCATCTGCCAAACCTTACTACAGGCTTTAGTAAACAACATCTTATTGGAACAGAGCCACACTCTTTTCCCTCATGTATTCTGTGTGGCTGCTTTTGTACAGGTATATCAAGAGTGAGGAGTTGTAAGGAGGATCACTTGAACTTGCGAAGTCTTTTAGTTTAAAAAGAAAAACCTTTGACAAACCAGTTTTTAAGGATTTGAAAGGCAGAGTTAGAGAAGGAGAGTCAGAGAGAGAGGGGTCTTCCATCCCCTGGTTCAGGTCCCAGATGGCCACAACGGCTGGAGCTATGCCAATCCAAAGCCTGGAGTCAGGCGCTTCCTCCAATCTCCCACGCTGGTGCAGGGGCACAAGGACTTGGACCATCTTCTGCTTTCCCAGACCACAGCAGAGCGCTGGACCAAAGAGCAGCTGGGGCTTGAACCGGTGCCCACATAGGATGCCAGCACTGCAGCAGCAGCTTTACCTACTACGAAACAGTGCCGGCCCCTGCAAGTCTTAAATACTTACTATCTGGACCCTTTCATTCTTATTTACTCAAAAGGCAGATCTAGAGAGGACGACAGATCCTCCATCTGCTGGTTAACTCCCCAAACGGCCAGGCCAAAGCCAGCACCTTTCTTCCTCCAGGCCTGCCACATGGGTGCCAGGGCCCAGGCAGCCAGGCCACCTTTGCTGCTTTCCCAGGCACCTCAGCAGGGAGTTGGAGCAGAAGTGGAGCAACTCAAGTGGGCTCCCACATGGGATGCTGGCATTGCAGGTGGTAGCCTCACCCGCAATGCCAGCCCCTATCTGGACTTTTCTACAAACATTTGCCAGCGTCTTGTACTTCCCATTACACAGGAATGAGAAGGCTTTTTCTTCCGATAAGAATATGACCTCATCCAATAGACATACCTAAGGCCTCATTAACTTGATCTAGGAAGGGGGTCACATCTGGGACTGTGGCTGCTAGTGGGACTGTTCAGTTGAGCTCTAGTTGTCTAGGTTTTGTCATCTTCAAGACATGGTACTTTCAGGTACCAAAATGGTACATTATACGGACGCATATCCTTTAGATCTATGTCCAATCCAGTATTATATTCCAGGGCAAGAGTGGGCCATGGAAGTCATGTCTTCATCCAAAGGAGAGCCCTGAGGGGCAGAAGTTTGTCCACTTCCAGCACCGCCAGCATCTGGACTGAGGCCTTCCCCGACCTTGACTCTCAGCAGTGTGACTGCATTGTAATCACCTACAGTAGAATTGATACGGAGATGCCAAAATTGCCTTCATGGAACACTGAGGAGTCAGGGTCTGGATATGTGGAGGTTTCAGAATAGATTTTTCACAGGAAGGTAGTTTTACTAGTTATGTTTTCAGGAGTACCGGGAAAACATGCCTTCATTCAAGCAATTAGAAATACACTGATGATGGAATTGAAGCCACTACGCAGCACAGTGGTAAACTGACCTCTAAAGGAAGGGGCGTGAGTAGGACAGGCTACAGATTACGTTCCTGAGTACCAACAAAGATGACAGAATGCAGGCAGAGGCAGGTGGTGGCCAGGAACCGTGAGAGTCTAAAGCTGGTGCAGTTACTACTCCGGGAAATAAAAGATCCCAGACCCACAAAGATCAGTGGCAATGTCTTGATTCCATGGTGAGCCCAGAGATGAGATGGGAAATTCACCAAGTGGCCCCATGCATGCTAATGGAGAGGCAGACTGACGTCAGCCACTGTGTGGATAATTATGATCCCCTATCCGATTTCCAGTTCAAGAGGCCCAGCCTTTTGCCAAAAGGATTCCAGAAGCCAAATATACCAGAGAGACACCCTTGGTCTCAGGAATATTTTCTACCCTCCTAGGAAGGTGTATCAGCTTTGTTACATTAAAATATCCAACAGGAGCTTCTTTGGAAGGAAAAGGTTCATTCCGTCTCAGTTAAGGTTACAGTTCAGAATGGGGTGGCCCCATTGGTCTGGTAGAGGCTGATGGCAGAGCACATGTGGAGGATCAAACGGTGAGTCAGATGCAGAGAGAAGCCAAACAGCTTAAACAACCAATCTTCTCACCAGAACTGCCTGCCAAGGGCAAGGCCAACAACCCAAAGATTTCCACTGTTCCATCTCCTAGCTACTATAATTAGGCCAATTAATCCATGAACCATTAATTCATGAACTGTGAACAGACTTAGACTTTGAGGATAAACATTCATGTGGGTTTGGGGAGCCAATTCCTGTTCAATTCACAGCAAAAGGGATTTATCATTGGCAATAGCAGCAGGAACCAGCAGAACCAGTTTGAAACCTGGCCAGATGGATCAATGACAATCTCATGTGAGATTTGGGATGCAGAGTAGGAAGAAGAGGGTCTTTTATTGAGAGGTACTCCACTAGATTCAGTGGTTTGGTAGATTTCTCCCGGAGTTCTAGCTTCAAGGATCTCCCTGTAAGTATTTATCATGGAGTCCAGCTGTGGCTACTCCAACATGCTTAGCAAGTCCTGACTCATCCACCCTTACCAAACTGCTGATTAAAGTCATTAGTGACCGTTTTCCTGATCCTCCTGGTACAGACTTGCATTTCTCATAGCCATATAATTCCAACGAATTTCTATAATGTGGATAATGGCTATTTTAAGTGCAAGTATATGCTATCAGCTATATCAACTCAATTTCTAAAAAAATTATGTTGAGCTAATTTAGTGGCTCCATATATTTAAGCCCTTGTGCCTTTATATCTGAGGACAAGATGGCCTCTGATGGTGCTGTTTGAGTGGGATCCACTGCTATCCAGTAACTGGTGGGTAATCCCAAGGCCTCCAGGTGGCTTGACCCAGACACCAGACTCAATGTGGCACCCACTACAGACCTTGGGGTGCATCTCTGCCCTCTCGTGGAAATTTGTCGTTAGAAAACGTAGTCATACACCTACTCCAAACTTGGGGGACAGACGCAGGACTGTCAAAGACCAATTTGGAAAAGGTGCCTTCCTGGAGGCCTGCATTGAGGAAGAGATTCTGATGTTTCTCTTCACTACATCCCCGCAAGTCACTAAAAACCACTGAAAGACATCATGGAACAATGGAGATAAAGGAAGAGTACAACAGGTGTCCAAACTCATGCTAGGTGAAGTCAGGTGTCTGCACCAATAATATAGGAGTAAGGCAAGGCGAGTGGCCAGTGAAGACCATTTACACATACACCCTGGGAGGCCTACAAACCACATCTACATCGCCTTGCCCCTGATCAGCCCTCCCTTGTGTTTCCTAAAGAAGTGTATTAGAACACAAATGGGAGGTTAATAGCAAATCCTCCAGACATAGGCCAAAATCTAACCTAAGCTAGAGATATTAGAAAGCAAAGAACTCCCATGAGGCAGTAGGCAGAGAGATCAACACAGTTCACACATGCCCCCTGCATAAGCTCTTTGAGGAGGTGAACATACATCACCCCATGTACA